TGGGGAGGGGACCCAGCACCCCACACACACCCCTTAAATGAACAGTAGCTGATCCCCCCCACCAGCCGCCTCTGGCCCTTGCTGTACTAAGGAACGGCGGCTGGGATCTCCCACTGCTGTGAGAAGCTGGGATCGAGCACTAGGCCAGCTGGATGGAAGGGCAGAACGGTCTCCCACCTGCCCAGGGAAAGGCCCCTCCCGCCCCCCGGATCCCACAGCACTTACTGAGTGCGTAGCGTGAAGGCAGCGCTGGTGATGGAGGTGGGCAGGTTGAGCCCTTTGGTGATCTCCCGCCACAGCTTCTTGTTGATCACTTCCACCAGGCCCCCTTTCTCGGTCACCAGCACGTAGAGCATGTACAGGTCCAGCACTTGCTTGGCCATGATGGGGATTCGGTTGACGGGCGTCCCTGTGGAGTGGGGGAGGTCAGTATGCTGGAGAGAGCTGGGCCAGGGGCCATGAAACGGAGGAGCAAGGTGCAACTGGGACTCAGAAACCCTGGATTCCATCCCTAGCTCTCGGACAAGTCACCTCCCTGCTCTGTGCCTCAGTTTCCCTCCCTTCTTCCTTTGCCTTTCTAGCTTTTCAGGGCTGGGACTGCCCCTAACAACATGTATATTATAGAATCTAGCACAATGGGGCCACGATCTCAGCTGGGGTCTCTGGGATCTACTATAATGTGTGATTAACACGAGGAAGGAAATACTTGTCCTTCAGATGAGATCTTCTTTATCCCGAGTGTGCCTGGGACACGTTTTTGAAGAAAATCCTTTTCGTAGTAGCATGGAAAGGTCCCCTAAATTCCACTGGCCGTTTCATCTGTGCTTAGCACAGGAACAACCCCAGCTCCCTTCCCAGCACGCCTGGCTGGTATCCGATTGTGGGTGGGGGAGGTTTGCCTATTTGCAGGGTACTATTTAAACATTTTTTTATTCACATCTCTGCCCTGCTCTGCTGGGCCAGGGCCGGTCATTTGAAGGAGCCTGGTGTATTGGACTGGGCTGATATAGAGACCCCACTGCCTATTTTCTTGGACTTATCTGCCACCCTGCCCTGGTCAGCGACAGCTCCTGGAACGTGGTAGGGGGCAGGGAGGTACCACAGAAGTGACTGGCGGTGGATAGGAAAAGGATATGATGGAGCGAGAAACCCAACCCTCCACACACAGGATACCTTGGCCATCTTCCACTGCTCTCTCTTTGCATTAGCGTCAGATGCACGTCACTCTCCCCAGATCCTCGCCCTGAGACGTCAGCAGCTCCTCCGCACATCCAATGCAGGGAGAGGAGCTTACAGACACCAGCTCGGTCATGTCCAGCAGGTGGTGCTAGCAACCAAAGCCCAGCAATGGGGCTTTTAAGAGGACGAGGGAATTCGTCAGAGAGCGGAAGAGACAGAAGCCACCGTCCCAGAGCATGAGACACCAAACTGTTGTGCAACGGACCGGAAGGTCCCGTCTGCTCTGGTGAGCTGGATTTAAAAACCCACAAGGGATCACAGCTGAGACACCGCTCTTGGCGGGGCCAGAGGGGGCAAATGGGCCAATGCCTTCAAATCTGTGTTCACGCTCCAAGACGGAGACTAGGGGCTAACCGGGCTTGGGCCCGAAACTTTCCCTGAGAGTCTCTCTCTCCCAAACAGGGCTACAGAGGGTCCACCATCTTCCCAGCCCCCAATGCCCCAAGAGACCAAAAACTGCAGGAGAGTCAGTGTCATTCCTGATAAAAATCCCGGGATGGGGCCAGGCCGAGGATACTTTAAGGAGGTGTCTATTATAAAAACTGGATGCAGACTGTTATAGGGACAAGGTGACATCATCTCACTGTTTTCTTGTGCTCGCCGCCCTGTCTCCCAGCTTCATCCATGTCTTTCTTCTCTTATACGTAGATTGTAAATTCTTTAGAGAGGGGCTGACATTTTGTTGTGTGTTTGTACAGCACCTAGCGCAATGCAGCCCCAGTCTAGGACTGCAGCTTCTAGGTACTTCAGTAATACAAATAATTAATAACAATGTGCCTGGTGACCCTCAGAACATAGACGAGGGCCCTGCCCGTAGAGCCGACTGTCTAAGGAGGATCTTACATTTGGTCGTTCGTTCGTTCAAAAACAAATTTTCAATGAAAAACAGCCTTAAAAAATAAAAAGTCTCTGGGGACCCCCCCCTCCCTCCAGAAAACGTGAACAAGATTTTTCACCAACATTTTCATTCTGTTTGGAATGTTCCAGTTTTTCAAAAGTTTTTTTGTTTTTTAGCTTTTAAAGCCAAACCGGTGTTGTTTTGTCAATGCGCCACCTATCCAGGCTGTCTCCTCTCCCATTTGCCATTGGAAAGCGGGAGGAGAATGAGAAAAGGGGAGAGGAAGGATTTGAAGTTTGCATTTTTTATTGGAAAACAAACTTTTCCATGGAGGGGGGAAAAAACAACCTCCTCCCCCCCCAAACAAAAGAAAAGTAAAAGTTTTCTGCAAACCCCCTTGGCTCCCCAGTTTCCTACAACGTGGAGCAAAGAGCGTCTGGTCCAAAGCTAATGGGAACCTTTCCAGGCCCGTGGGGTTTGCCCTCTGAGGGCTGAGCAAAGTCAGGTTGGCTCTAGTTTTTCCCCACTCCTGCCCTGGGAGATCCAGGCCAGCGGAACCCATACCTTGAGCTGTGTGTGAGAGAGACGAGATGGGCAAGGCGCTCTCAATCATATGATATGAGAAATCAGCTAAGCAGTACGGGGGCTTCCCCTAGAGGGTGCAGTCCCCACTGTTCACCCCACCCCAGCACAGTGCCTCCCTCTGACACCATGGAGGTGCAGTGAGCTCAATCCGGATCAGACTCACATGGCCGCAAGCCAGTTCTTACAGTGGGATCTCTGCAGACCCCACATCATTGGTGTATCAATGGTAGCTAGGGCCCTAGGGTTTGATGGCCCTCTGAGACTGACTTCCCGCCCTTGCCCCATAGGGCTAGACAAGGGGGGGGGCTGAGTGCCAACACTGCATGCAAGACAGTCTCTGCCCATCAAGCTTACAGTCTGCGATGGATGGACCACATGGTTCCAACCTAATGGGTTGAAGCTGCCCCAGCCCCTGTGCAGCCCGAGTTCCCTGCCCTCAGCAAAAGGCGTGTGAGAGGGATCCCCAACCCCTGCATGCCACTGAACCTAGCTGCCCGGCTGTATCCCGGCTCATGGCAGGGGAGGGAAGGAGAATTGGGACCTGATCCAAAACCCGCTGAAGTCAAGGGGAAAAAGCTGCCTGTGACATTACTGGGGTTTGGATCACGTCCTTGGGATGTGGCTAACCTGGGTCAACCAGCGACGCCCGATCCCAAGGAGGTGGCACTGTAACCTCGAGACCGCAGCCAGGGCCGGCTCCAGGGTTTTGGCCGCCCCAAGCAGCCAAAACCAAAAAAAAAAAGTGCCAGGCATGTTATCTTTGACCAGCCTTCGCGCCCATCGCCACAGAGCAACGCATGTATTAAAAAAAACCCGACCAACTCCGCTGCCCATGCGTCACGGCCACTACGGGAGGGGTGTCAGTTGCATGACTTAATACACAACTGGGCGGCGCTCGGATACTCGGGCGAGGAGCCCGGTCTAAGACTAGAACTTCAGAATTGGCTAGTTCAATCCAGGGACCACCTGGAGGGGCACGCTACGAACACCGGCGCAGGCCCCAATCGGAAACTGGGAAAAAAACCAATCCACTGAGCAATCGTGCATGGACATTTGTCAAAGAAAATAGCCACCACCACAATGACAACCAAACAACACAACACACACACACTCTCTTTTACACAATCAGTTTGTGGACTAATTTCCCCATCTGTAGAACAGTCGTCTGCAATGAGTCACGTGACCAGCTTTAATGCTACACATAGCAAACAGCTGGTTCCAGCCAGTATCATTCTGAACCTACCACCCTAGTGCAGAGCTGGGGCCGAGAGTGGATGGGAAAGGGGGCGGGGGGGAGCGCGGACACAGGATGTTTATACAAAGCGGCAGAGAGACCACATATATTCAGGGAGGGGGACTGGGCTGTAATACATCCATTCATCAATAGCTGCCTGAAGAATCATGCCGATGATTCAATCAGACAAGCCGGGGGGAGGGGTGGAGGGGGGGGGTCTTGACCTCTGGTTTATTGTAGGGGGGAAGGGTGCAAAGGGCGGGGGAGGGAGGTGGCAAAGTCTGAAGTCGGGGGAAGCCAAGGAGGATTTCTCCTCTCCCGCCTCTTCCTTTATTGATTTATTGCCTTTTTAAAAGCAAGAAACAAAATCCCCACCCGCGGCGTTGCTGCGAATTTATGGCTGCTACCCGGAAGAAGGGAAACAGGCCGGGGGCGGAGGGGGGTATTGTTAAACCGCAGCTACTGCCATGGGGCTGAGCTGCAGCTGCTGTCAGCAAGAGAGATTATTGATACGGTGGTAGCGCCTTGAGGCCGTAAGAGATCAGGGCCCCATCGCTGCGCATGCGCCGAGCACGGGGCAGTCCCTGCCCCAAAGAGCTTACAGTCTAGACAGACAAGAGAGAGGAAACATTTTACAGACGGGGAAGGGAGATTAAGTGACTTGCTCAAGGTCACACAGGGAGACGGTGGCGGAGCTGGAAATGACGTCTGGATCTCCTGAGACCCAGCTCCGCGTTTTAACCTTACGGGGCAGATTTTCAAAAGAACGTGCTTTGTTCGTTTAAAAATCTGGGCACTTATTCTGGTCCCTAACCAGGAGCCGAGAGCTTCTGGGGTATGTCTACCCGGCCAAAACAGACCCGTGGCAGCGAGTCTCGGAGCCTGGGTGAACTGACTTGGGCACGCAGGGCTAAAAATAGCAGTGTAGACGTCCAGGGTGTGGCTGGAGCTCAGGCTCTGAAACCTGGTGATGAGGGAGGGTCTCAGAGGAACCCAGGCTATTCTAAACCCTCGTGAACAACAGCCAGCCTGCAACCCAAGTCCCTAGCTCCCGTGTTCCCACCCTCATGCCTGCCATAGCCCTGCCCCTACTTGGACGAGGCAGCAGGTCTCAGCGCGAGGCTGAATGGGACAGGTCACACCTCTTAGTTCAGGCTGTCTGCAGACTCAGGCAGACGTTCCCGTGTCAGATACACTCAGGTCCCCTTTTCAACTCTTAAGATTGCTAGCAATGCTAAGGCTGGCTGGTTGGTGCGCACATGGCTGAGGGTCAAACTGATCCCCGTACATGGGCCTGGGAAGGAATTTTCCGCAGGTCAAACTGGCAATGACCGTGAGGATTTTTTGCCTTCCTCTGCAGCATAGGGGTGCGGGTCACTTGCCGGGATTATCGGGGCACATCTCACTTAATCGCTTCCCTATTCTCTGCCTGTGGCACCTCACAGTCTAGTCTCCTGGGAGCTGTAATATTTTGCCCTAATTCCCGTTGCTGGGCCTGTGGGCAGGTGCTGGCAGCCAGGGCTACACAAGAGGTCAGACTAGATGATCTGCTGGGCCCCTGCTGCCTTGAAGGCGGAGATTTTGGATCTCATCACGTGCCTCCGGGAGCCCGGGCCCTAGGCCAGGACCTGGAGTCCCGACACTTGAATCCGGCCCTGTCCATTCGCTGCTCATGCCCGCCACAGGGACTGCACCAGAGCAGAAAGAGTTCACCCAAGGAGTCACAGACCGACAAGAAAAAGGTGCTAGGCCTGAAACGTCTACCTCATCTTCTCACCCCAGAGCTCTTCAGCCCTCATTCGGATCCCTGGGCAGTTAACCCGGAACAGGCCCCTGCCCCTTGGGCTGAAGGTCTCTACGTGTTTGGTGGGAGCAGCTTACGGTGGCTGTCTGCCACTGATCAACCCCAGCCACGCTTAGCCTGCGCATTGCATGAAAGGGGGAGGGATAGCTCAGTGGTTTGAGCATTGGCCTGCTAAACCCAGGGTTGTGAGTTCAATCCTTGAGGGGGCCACTTAGGGAACTGGGGTAAAAAAAAAACTGTCTGGGGATCTGTACTGCTTTGAGCAGGGGGTTAGACTAGATCAGTGGTCCCCAACGTGGTGCCCGTGGGTGTCATGGCGCCCGCCAGGGCATCTATGTGCGCCTGCATACTGTCTGGCAGACGAGCAGTTGCCGAAATGCCGCCGAGAAGCAGCGTCATCCAGAGGCGTTGCTGCTGAAATGCCGCCGATTTTCGGCAGCATTTCAGGGGCGACGCCTCTGGATGACGCGGCGTTTCGGCAGCGACGCCTATTGACGTTGCCGCTTCTCGGCAGCATTTCGGCAGATGCTCATCCGCCAGCCACGGTCCTCGGTGGCTCGTCGTCCGGCGCCCGCCAGATGAAAAAGGTTGGGGACCACTGGACTAGATGATCTCCTGAGGTCCCTTCCAATCCTGATATTCTATGATAATTGTTATTTGCTGACCGTGCACAAGCAATGCTGTGTTGAGTCTGCCAGCACCCGCATGAGGTTTCACCTGGGAGTTTATAATCAATGTGCCGTCCCAATAGAAAATCGGGTGGCTTTTTTCCTCCAATAAGGCTAAATGTATTTCCCCAGGACCTGGGTGCGATTTCTGAGGTGGGCAAGGCCAAGCGTGAGCAGATCCAAGCGTGTCAAACAGTTCAGTCTGTACCTTGTCATTCTCCGCTGCAACCTTGCTAGGGAATTCCAAGAGGCGTGAATTTGTCCTGCAGGTTCAACGCTCATGCTTAGACCGGCCACCTACCCTCCAGGAATACCGCTGCCATGTAAACTCAGCCTGCCCACCTGCTGTTCACCACCTCGCATTGTTCTCCCTATATTCTGCTGACACACCCGTGCAATCTGCTTTCGGCATCCTCCTCCTGGTAGTTTTGGCAGGCAGCGCGGTTGAGTGGGGAGGGCATGGGGCTGGGAGTTGGAACGGCTGAATTCTGTTCCTCGCTCAGCTGAGGCCTGTGGGTGACCTTCTGGAAAGTCTGTGCCTCAGTTTCCCCCCGGCCCTTCTGGAAAACGGCAACAGCGATTCTCTTTCAGGAGCTTTGACAGCCACCGATGAAGAGCGTTACATACAGGATGAAATCAGGCCCTGTCTTCCTAACTGACTCTTGGCCAGATGGACAAGCCCCGTTGTTTAGAGGCCTCCTATGCTCCCCAAAACTTTCCCTCCGACCATGGGAAATTAGCTTCCGAGAACAGCTTTCCAAGGTTCCTGCACACAGTAATATCCGCCACGAATTCCAGCCGCTCGGCTCTGGAGGGTGACCTTTCCTGCCTTGGAAGCATGTTGATTTCAGCCCCGCGTTGGCTGGGGCTCCTCCCTTCCCTCCCCCAGTCGAGGAGAGCCCACACCTTGCCGGCCGCATTGTTTGTGGAAGCGCCGGGGGCTGGGAGAGGACCCAGAGGATGGAATAAGTAAACTTGGGAAAGCGCCTGGCTGATTCTTTCCCCCTGCCCCGTTTCCTAGATGCTGCCTGCTTGACAAAAGGCCCCACGCAAGTGGCAGCACCATCTGCTTTCCTCGGGAACCCGAGCCCTCCGCTGAGGCAAACAGCCAGCCCCTTGGCCATTGTAAACACAGCTGCAGAGTTGTTTTTGCATCTCTGAAGCGGCTGGCTGGAAATCGCCTCCCTGACCCATGGCTGCTTGGGAGATGGGGACCGGCTTCTCCCCCTCAACACGCCTCCGTCCTGCCACCATCCCCCTCAAGGGGGAAGGTTTGAAGCCAGCTGGGATCAGCCTTCCCCCCACCCCACCTACGAGCCCCAGTCTGCCCCAACCCCAAAACCTTACAAGCTCTAGTTCTACTTCGGGTCTATTTTCCACTCCCACTTGCCCTGTCTTATCCCCGCAAGGTATTATCCCAAACCCAGGGGCATGTGTGAGTTCCTGGCTATCCTTACACTGCATGCGATAGCCACGCAGCACTTCGCAGTGAATTCAGATCCTCCTGCTCCCACGGCACAGGCTGAGCTACTCTCTGTAACCCGTGAGCGGCTCAGGGGCCTAAGACACACACACTGACAGTTCAGATTCCATCCAGTAGAGGCCAGCGGCACATCCTGACACGGGCAACTTCAGTGCAGGTCACCAGCCCCTCAGCACTGAGTCACACGCACCAGCGGCGACATTCTCATGACGTGTCTCGGAGCTGGTTTGCACAGGCCTCTCCGTAGGTGCCGCACGATTTCCTGCTCCGGTTTCCCAGCCCATACAGGGGCTGGTGCACTGTCTTTCCCGGTGACGCCTCTCCTTGATCCCCTTCCCCATATGCTCCCTGCTGATCCTCTCTCCTACACCAATAGCATTTTCATATTTACACAAATGTCTTCGAAGTCCCTCACTACCCCAAAACCAGAAATATCGGCTTGATGTCCTGAGGAAAACTAGATTTTCTTCCCACAAGGCTGTACCCTAACGCTCTGCTCGGTGTTCTGGCTTGGATGTGTGGGGAAGTTATGCTAGGGCCAATTTCACCCCTCAAGGGTTGTTCTGCAGCGTAGATGGGGCTCAAGGGGGTTTATGCTCATATATGGTCACTGCATGGTTTGGTGTAGTATAGAAGCAATCCTATTGATTTCTATGGGCCCGATCCTCAGCTGGTAGATATTGGTCAGGTCAGCAGAACTAAGCTAATTCATACTGGCAGAGGATCTGGTCCAGCCAGAGTGTAGCTTCGCTGCACGGGCCTGTATTTCACCCCTGTGCAGAGATCTACTCTGCTGAAGCAGGGCCAAATTTGCAAAAACGAAAACTGCTGGGATTCTGCTGCTGGGAAGCTTTAAGGTCTGTAGAAATGTTCCCACTTTTTTAAATTTTTGTTTAACAAATTTAAAGGCCAGCGGAAGCAGTTTTAAACAACCCAAACGCAGCAGGGCTGGGCTCCCGCAAAAGGAACCAGAACAAGAAAGCCACTCAAAACTGATAAGCAAAGTGAAAGTGGCTCGTCTCTTTCCACTGTCCACACTAAGAAATGCAGGAAGTGAACAAGCCAACCGGCATAAACAGCAAAAATGGCTCAGACTCGGTCAGATGTATTCATCCAAGGTGTTTTTGTATCAAAGAAAGGAATTCAATATATATATTTCTAACTTGACAGCGCCCCTTTAATGCCACAGGCCTAGATATGGCAAAAGTGATGAGCAATTTGGGGTGCCTGACTTGAGACACCGTCAAGGGACCTCATTTTCAGAGAGTGGCCAGTTCGGCACTTCTGAAAAAGGAGGCATGAAAAAAAAATCTCTAGAGGCCTTTGAAAATATCAGCCCGGATTTTTCATCCCCTCCACGGCGTTTGCCACGGAGCCGCTTTGCTGGGTTGACTCTGTTCATTGTTATTGCGCGGTGTGAATGCACCAGCTCCCTGCTCCCAAGCCAAAGGCATGTTTGAAAAGCCTGAAGGAGCGGCTGGAAATTGTGGATTCTACCTACGGCGTGAAGCTGCACGGGAGGAAAGGGGGATTCTAGCAGCCGCTTATCAACCCTGGTAGCAAAGTTTCTGATGCAGCATCACATCCGCTCAACAATATGAAGAGATGCACAGCGGGAGAGATGGGCAGAAGAGACAATGGAAGCAAATTACTGCTCAGTGACCAAATCAAGGATGCTGCATCCGTGCACAGCAGGCAAGGGTCTCTGTTACAACGGGGCGGGAAATAAGGAAACCAACCGCATTTAAGAAGGGAGAGGCGCTTGCCCAGAAGCAGGGATGGGGGGGATATCAAGCAGAGAATGAATGGTCGTATGTAGGGCTTTGGCAAACCGAGACCCAAAGGATGAAAAGTCAAGAAAGCAAAGCCACTGGAACGAGGGGCCCAATCCTGCTCCACTGAAGTCAGTGGGGACAGAGGTGCCACCCATTTCAGTGCAGCAGGATTGATCCCCATGTGCGGAGAGGTTCATGTTCATGATTTAGTTGGGGATTGGTCCTGCTTTGAGCAGGGGGTGGGACTAGACCTCCTGAGGTCTCTTCCAACCCGGATATTCTATGATTAGGCCGGCGAGAGCTTTCACCTTGAGGCAATAATATTAAGCAAGAAAATAAAACCTGGAGCTCTGAATCTCACCTGAGATGGCGAGGGGAGAGGGAACACACATGCACATTAGTGCAAGCTCGCCAGGACAATACAGCAGGGCTCACCTCGCTTCTGCATAAAGCTGAAGAGGTCGTCCAGGAATTCTTTCCTCTTGGGATCGCCATCCAGCTCGTACAACTGTGCACAGAGAAGGAAGAGAAGAGATCACTCGCAAGGCACCCGGGGTGGGAGAACATGACAAACACCCGCCCGTCAGTGCATCCCCCGTAGGGAGGGGCCCGGAGAGCCTGGCTCTGCAGTGCCCAGCCCGCCCCGTGTCAGAGGAAGTTAAACACGCTGGATGGCGCTTGGCCTAGTAGGTAGGAAACACGACAGATCGTTTATTATGAGAGCGCCACTGCCGGGTCAGCTGGTGAGCAGAGGCAGTGGTGAAACGGGGGAGGCTGCATGAAGCAGAGTCCTGAAACGCAGCCAGGTCGCTGTCTCACCCACCCGGTTTCCTTTAGCTTCTAGGTTTTCCAGCTATGTGACGAGAGTTATAAACGCTGCTCCCTTTCTAGGCACAGCCGCAGCGCAGCGTGCGATACTTGCTGGTTTTAAACCATTCGCATGGCTGTGGTTTGGAGTGGTGATTAGAAGGGGGAAGAGGAGATAGCAGGTGAGCACACGCTTCTTTACATGCATCTCCACCACGTGGCCCAGTGGTTAAGTTATTTGTTATGGCTTGGAAAACTCACAGACTGTAAGGTTAGAAGGGACCACGGTGATCATCTGGTCTGACCTCCTGCACATCGCAGGTCACAGAACCTCACCCACCCACCCACTCCTGAAATAGACCCCTGACCTCTGCTGAGTTACTGACGTCCTCAAATCATGGTTTAAAGACTTGAAGTGACAGATAATCCACCATTTACAGTAGTTTAAACCTGCAAGTGACCCGTGCCCTACGCTGCAGGGGAAGGCGAAAACCCCCATAGGGTCTCTTCCAATCTGACATGGGGGAAAATTCCTTCCCAACCTCAAATACAGTGATCAGTTAGACCCTGAACATGTGGGAAAGACCCACCAAACTCACTATAGGACCGTGGTCAAGTCACTTAGCCTCTCTGTGCCCCAGATCACAATCTGTAAAATGGGGAGAACGGTTCCCATAATGCCCCACCTCACAGGAGGGCTGGGAGATTGGGAGGGGCTCCAATGCTATTGTCACGGGGACCATAGATAACTCCCAGGATAATGCCATCAGATTGGTCCATTCTGGCAACATCAGGTTACTGCTCCAAGAGACTCCCAGAAACCTCACTGGGGGGGCGGGGGTTTATCCCCAGCTGTGTGTTAGGGGCTGATGATGTACGAGCAGCAGCACAGCCCCTGGCTTAACGAGCTTGACGTCTAAGCCAGGCTGAGTGTGGGGTGCACTGGTACACCGTGGGGTCTCTTGGGACGGTAGCACTCCTTTGGGCTGGAGCATCATGGAGTTAGGTGCCCAAATGACAAGGGAAGCCAGTTCAGGAGTCGGGCGCCTGACTACCGTAGGGATTTGAAATCCCCACCCGTAAGCAGGGGCTTAGCTTCAGGAATGGGAGCAGGATCGGGGCCACAGCACTGTCCCACACGCGATCACGTCCTTCTTTGGAAGGAGGCGAAAGCCATTCTGCTGCCCGGCGGGCGGTGTGGGCCATCGCCGGTTGCAGGAGCCCAGGCAGCCATTGGCATTTTGCTGCTTGCGGGCAGCGCTGATCTACATGAACAGCTGAAGCACCGGTGGCATGACCCCTGCTCTCGGTAACGAACATGCTCTCCGGGCACACACTTTGCATGGCTTAGGTGAAGAGCAGCAACGTTTCCTCCCCAAGAATAGGCAGCCAGCGCGTCACGCCCCGCAGCTGCGTTGCGGCTTTAAAGAGGCTGAAAGACGGTAGGTTAACTGGAAAGGGTTCCAGATCGTTTGCAGTTAGCAAAGCAAGCCCTGGGCAAACACCTTTAAGCGCATGCAGCACGGCTGGTCAGAGGGTATTAGAGAGGGGGAGGCAATCTCTTATTGGACCGACTTCTGTGGGTGAGAGAGAGACGTCTGTGAGCCGACACCTGCAGAAGAGCTCTATGGGGCGCGAAAGCTTGTCTCTCTCCCCAACAGGCGTTGGTCCTATAAAAGAGATTCCCCCTCCCACCTTGTCTCTCTAATCCCTTTAATGGCAAACGCTCCAGATCATTATGTGACGATCCCAATTCCCAAGATAGGGGACAGAAATTAATATATCCAGACTGTAAGCTCTTTGGGGCACGGAGCATCTTATGTTAGATGCACGTACAGCTCCCTGCACACTGGAGCCCTGATCCCCAACTGGGGCAGGCGGGCGCTACTGCAGTACATCTAACAGCAGCAGCAATTAGAACAGCAGCCGTTTGCCTGGCAAAGTTCCACTGATGAGGTCCCACGGATAAGGGTGCATTCAGCGACCCAGCCAGGCTAGTTATTATGGACGATCCTTTGTTAAGCTGGGCACTAGAATCTCCTTTTCTTCAACAATACACCGCAGCAGTGCTCTAAAGCCGTCAAGGGAGGGGCGCACTGACACAGCGCAGAGATTCATCCCCTTTCAAAGCCGTTTCCTTCATGGTTCATGCAAGTGTTTCTCAGCAGCTGTTTGCAGGAAGGGAAGCCTGCGAGCTGGTAGAGGGAACGCAGCGAATCTTCGGCGCACGTAACGCTCATTAGCGGCAGAGTGCGTGGGTGTCGGAGTCCTGCCTCAACTATTAATATCGCCTCCCCCTCTCCCCGCGCAGCAAGAGTGTCAGTCACTCAGAACAGCTGGTGGGACCTTTGCCCCTCTGTCCGTTTCTAACACGACCCCGAAAGCCGGCTACGTTAAATGAAACTGAGTCGGCACCTCCGTCAGAGATTGAAAAAGTCACCGTAAAACCACAGCTCCCCACCCAGAGCTCCCGAGCCGGATCCCTTTCCGTTATTTGTAAAGCGTCGCTGGCCTTCTGAGCGCAGCATGCAAGACACAATGACCTGGGCCCAGAGAGTCTCGAAGAGATTTAGGGACCTAATTCCCATTGAGGATCTGGGCCCGCCCCAAAGAGCTTCAACTACCAAGACAGGGCAATAAAGAGGCCCCCAGGACACTTGTTCCTATTAGTGCATAATGCAGAGTAGCTGTAGCCCTATTGGTCTCAGGACATTAGAGAGACAAGCTGGGTGAGGGAATCTCTATTGGACAGAAGCTGGTCCAATAAACTCCATTATCTCACTCACTTTGTGTTTCTGTTAGTGTATAAAGGGCAGGGCTCATCACTTTGTTCTGTGTGCAGACAGCGCCTAGCACCGTGGGGTCCTGGTTCACGACTGGGCTCCCAGGCATGACCCACAATCCAAATACCAACAGTGACTGCAACTCACGCTAACTGAATGCGTCTTGCATCCTCCACTAGCGGATACTGGTCTCCTGCCGCTACCAGCTATTGGAGTTACTCCCTGAGGTCAAGCGGGAGACCTGCCCTCTTTTACTGCTGCGGGTTCCAGGTTTGAATCCCACTGGTAACCTGTAGGTTGACCCCAGGACTCCCATGGCCCAGGCTAGTCCCCTAGCCACGGACCATCCTTCCTCAGCGGTCACACGAACGGCAGCTTGCCTGGCCCTAAAGCCTTCACCTCAGCATTAACTTGGACTGTCTTGGCTGGTGCAGGTTTTTCCATCAGCCCCTTCATGATACAGGAACGTTGCTTTGCCTGCAGCACTCCACTGCGGTGCCCTGTATTTTGTCAAAGAGCATCCCAATGGGATCACCGGGGCTCTTAGCGTCCGCAAGCCCCACCCCTCTTTATAAATTGGATCCGGTCTGGTGAAGCTACCGACCTTATTTACAAAGCATCTTAAAGCCACCACCTCCCGCAATAGTGAATTTCAGTCTCGATGAGACCGTAGGGACAGAAGCCCCTTCCCCTCCTTTCTGCAAAGGGATCCTTTGATGCAAGACGCCTTCTTCCCACCCACATCCAAGCCTTACACAATGCAAGGCGCTAATGCTATTGTAAACCAGACAAGATTAATGAAGCAAGGCACAGGGGCATTACATGCTGCAAGAAGTCTTAGCAATACACAACTGGGGGATGTTTTTATAAGCCGTGACAGGAAGATCTATGCAAGGCTTCTAATGCAACCTCTCTGTGGGCTTCAATTTATACTTGCACCAGCTTTTCTCCTAGGACCACACCCATCGTTTGACAGCAGAGCACATTCCAGATGTGATTGATGAGAGCAGGCCTTGCCGGCCTGGGGAGGAAAAGAATTGAAAGCCACGTTAAATTCTTAACCGCCTTTTGGAAGCTGGATCCCAATGCTGGTTAGAGTTTTTGCACACCAGACGCATAGCCGATTAATAATCGTTATTGCCACACATCCGTCAGAGGAACTGAGTAAAGGGCAAGCACGTGTGAAATACAGCGAAGGCTGCTTCACAAGCTAAAGAGAGAAACAACCACTGCGCCCGCCTACAGCCAATGCGTCACCCACCAGCGTTTCAGGTCCTCCTTTAACGACTGGTCCGCATGTGCTCCAATGTTAGAATGGAAACGCTCTACAAACGGGCAGGGAGACAATGGCGTGAACTCCCCGAGGAACTAAGGACCACCCCACCCCACCTTCCGTTCCAAGTGGAAGGTGAATTTCTTTGACCTGCCTTCCCTACCAAACGTAAGCCACAGGGTGGCCTAGCTAGTGGGTGGAGCAGGACCTTGCCTGGTGATTGTGGTGGCACTTTGGGGAGTGACGAGCGTAGATCCGGGAATCAGGCACCGGTCCAAGGGTGAAGCTGGAGTCAGGGTCAAGTGACCAAGACTAAGCTCGGAACTGGAGTCAGAAGCCAAACCTAAGCTGAAGGATGAGCTGGAATCATAGTTCAGGATGGAGCCAAGAGTCAGAAACCAAGACGGAGCAGAGAGGTTGGGGGTGCAGCAGGAACTGGGCTGGGAGCAAGGACTGGAGCAGGAAGCGGAAGTGAGAGCAGCTGCGGGCACGTTACGCCTTGAGCAGGCTGTATGCTGCCACGTTAGGCTCACGAAGCAAACCGCTGGCTCCCCAGCCCCGTCAGGAAACGCAACCGTTTGGAGGGAGCTCAGTGGGTCCAGGTGAGCTTGCGGAGTTGCCTAGCAACCAGGCTGAGCGCCAGCG